AATATAAATATCGTAATCAATTCTTATAAATACCATTTCCTAATGTAATTTTCCAAGATATTATGGATCATAATGTAAAATAACTAAATTTATCAAGAGTAACAGGCTTTATGTTTCTTAAGTTAAACTACATGCATTTATGAAAGTTCTTATAAAGTTTCAAACAGTTTCATCCACTAGTATTATTGTTGGAATGAAATATAGCAAGACTTGCATTGGCTTCTCAGAAAGTTAGTAGCTGGTGGTTGTCAGGTTAAAATATACTAGTGAAAGTACCTGGCTTCACTTGGGTTATTAGGTTGATACATCTTAAATGACTATGTCAGTGAGTGTATTCTGAACCCATTTTAGCATAAAAGTATAACCTATATACTTATGTAGCTAAACGACATGACATGAAAGCCATTCTTGGAATGCATTGTTATCAAAACACTGGCTTTTCTATATATTAGAAGTTGTTATATAAGGAACCACTTCTTTTTCTATGTGGTTTTCCACTAGCTTGTTTCATTGAAAAGATGCACACTCTCAGGGTCCACTTTGTCTGGGTGCAAAATTTCAGGTTTCTAGGTTCTTTCACACACACAGACCCACAGACACGCCATTTTATTATTATAGAAGATTGCAGATTGTCTTATAAGTAAAATACAGTTTTGTTTTATTTCAACCTGTAACCATGATTTTAAAATGCACAGCATTTAACTCATCTTGTTACAGTGTGTGATAGCCGCTTCCAAAGAAACAGCTGAAGAGGAAGAAAGAAAACGCAAAGAATCAAGACAATGTGGAAGTAGTGATTTCTTTGAAGTTGATCAGGAGAAATCATTTCCTAGAATCAAAGAACAAGGAAGATTTAGCTGTTTTCATACGCTGTCTAATTCTCCTGATGGAAGCACTTTGAGTCCTGATTCCGATGCTAGAATAAATAACATTTGTTTGGTGAGTATCGATAACACAAGGGAAAATTTCTATTTGTTTTTTAATATTTTACACTCAGCATTATTTAAATATATATACATACATACATACATACATGTTTAATTCAAAGTTTTCCAGACTTAGCTTCAAAATACACACATTAACAGAACAAGAAACCTCTTTGAATTTTATTATACTTATGTAATTTAGTTTTCTACCACTAAAATGTTGAAGTCCAATTTAGAGCAAGGTGAGGATTATGTCAGGTAAACCTTATTTACAGATATTTTAAAGCATGATTTTGTATACAAAAGTGTATTTGTGTGTGTGTACACATGCATATACTTTGTTCCATATGAAGTATATTTTATCATATTCTTAGTTATTTGTAATAAATTGCCAAATTATTATCTTCAAAAATTGTATTTAAAATTTATTTTTTCTGAAACAGGACTGTGTAGATAGAACAACAGAGCCATATTCATTTGAAAATGATGAAGTAAACCACCCATCTCAAGGATCTCAAGATTTGTTTTCTTCACAATCAGAAAGAGGAAATCAGCTCTTGGTAAAATTTGACAAATTTTTTTAATGGAAAGGAATCTAGTAGTAAGTTAAAATTATCAATTATATTAATAAGATAATGGAAATGACTTGATGTAGAAATGGTTAACATAAGGTAAAGTGTAACTTATTAAAGCTTCTATTTTAAAATACCATATTCTAGGGTCTTTAAATTTAGTTTTTGAAATGCATTACTTTATTCATTTCATACCCTCTTCCCAGTTGGGTCAGTGGTAAGCCTGAATGAAGGCTTATGATTCTAAAAACAGGTTTTGATACCCATAGTGGACACAGCTCAGATAGTCCCTTGTGTAACATTGTGTTTAACTAGAAACATATAAGTGCTCATTTCATTGTTAGAATTGTCAGTAGTTGATGTATTAATGTAAGATTACTTTTGGCATGTAATGCTATAAAATCTAAGTCTTTACAAGTAATAGGGTTAAACAGGTTATTGCAAACGAATCTTTCATATTAACTTTCACATGCATATGTTCAAATGAGATACAGATTGTCAATATACTGTTTTTGAGCATATGCTTTGTTTCATGAAAAACCTTTTCTGTTCCACTTGCCATACATTTAACACTGAGTTGAATTTAGTGCTGGAATGGTATCTGGAGGCAGTAAATATATTGTCAAGATATTAGATGTAGTTGTTAAGATTAGTTGTAAGCACAGTACAACTGTCAAAGAATTAATACATGGTACTTTTTAACGTGTAAAGTGTGGTGAAATTAGTTATATGATCTACTAGTTAGATCTATTTATCAAAGTTAGTAGATGGTATTGCTGTATATGTTCTTTAGTTAATTGTATGGTATCCTATAAATATCAGAGTTAATATGCAGTACTGCTAAACAGATAGAATATGTTTAAGTGAATTATTTGAAATGCTAAAGATATCGGAAAGTTAGAAGATAGTGCATGTAGTTTGCACTTATGATACAGTACAAATTTCAAAAAGTAACAGCTGATGTTTCTGTACGTGTAGACTATATTAAAATAAATTGTATGACTTGGCAGAGAGTTAATTGGTGGTGTACTGCTGTATATGTAGGTTGTAGTTACAAGATAGTATTACTGTACATGTGAGTCATAGTGAACAATACAGGACAAATATTTGAGAATTAATAGGTGGTAACAATGTCATAGAGAGGCACTACAAGGGCTGGTGCTCTAAGTCATATTATTTAGGAGCACCAAAATTGACAGAGATTTATGATAATGTACGTGTCAAACCAATTCATCTAAATTTGTAAACACGGATATTGTTGCAACTTAGATATATATTATGAAGTGTAGGTCTTGCATACTATAGGTGAAATTATCTTAGTTAATATTTTATTGTCATTGGTAAGAAATGGTGTATAAAGTTTTAATGAAAAGGGAGCCACAAAGATAGTTTGCTGTAGGTATAACATTAGTCAAAGTGTTGAATGGTGCTTTGCTGCTGTACATGCTGGCTATAGACAGGGGTGGTGCTACCACCATTGGGTGTCCTTAGCAGGAATATTTTTGGGCTCCTAACCGACCCAATTAAAAAAATATACTGATTGCAATATTTACACAAATTAAAAATATTCCAATGTAATGTATAATAATAAATTTGTTAAAAAGTTATTTCTACTTACACATACCACTGTTTGAGTGCCTGACTGAGAAGTGTCTTGCTTCTGCAGTTTTTAAACATCCATCTGTTAGTGAGTAATGTGTTTTTGGATTGCTTTCATTGAAAACATATTTTTTTTTCAAATGAGTACAGTTTTAGAACAAAGAAAAATCAAGGTTCTTTGTGAACTGCTCAGGACATTGAGCAACTGCTTAGTTTGCTTATGCCTAGCACCACCATGGATGTAGATGTGTAAATGGTTTGAAAGAGAGTTAAGACCATACTAAGATTTAATAGATGGTAAAACTGTATGTGAACAGTGTAGTTAAGTTAGTTTTACAAAAGAGTGATATTTTGAAAGTTAGTAGATATGCCAATATGAAAAGTAACTTATTACTGATTAATCAGTTTACAGTAATTGACTTTTTTTAAGTTTCTCAGTATTACCTATTTAGAGTATATAGTCCTTGAATGTCGTGGGAAAAGGAAATAAGCAATTTTTCAGGTGTGGAAAATCATTGATTTTTGAGTGGAGTTTATGGGAAAGTGTTTTTCTGGTATTGAAATTATATCAATTTAGTATGCAAAGCATTTTTATTATTTAATCATAATCCCAATGCTTAGCTCGAAGTTCAAAAATGTGTAAGATTTTGTAAATGGACATGAAGATTCTACCCTCAAAATGTTTCTCTTGCCAGAATGGGTTTTCTATATACGTTTGTTAACATAGTAATGCTCTAGGTCAGGAATTTTTGTGTCCCACCTCTGGACAAGTAATACCATGCATGAAACCTGGACATTTATAACTGAGTTAGGTCAGCAGAACATCAATCACCCATAGTTTTTGCTGTATTTTTACTCAGCATAGGAAGTTAAATACTAATTTTCAGTAACTCAACCAAAGTGATTAAAATAGTGAAGTCTCAAGCCATAGTAAAACAACAAAAAGAAAGTGCCACTGAATTTTAACTTTATTTTTTTTACAATTAAACTAAAGCATATAGAGCCTGATGGAGTGAAAACCAACTGAATATTGAATATAATAATATTCAAGATGTGAAATAATTCATTACAATATCAGCATAAATTGACAGTAATAATTAAAACATTTACAGTTTACTTGTACTAAATAATAAACTAGCTCACGGAAAAAGTTTGCTTTAATTAAGTTTTATGTAATGAAAAATTATATATCCTGCAATATAGAAATTCCACTTACATTACGTATCATAAAAAAAAAGGTAACACACATCACAGTTAATGGAAACTAAAATACATAATAATAAATTATATTTATTTATGTACATAATGTTTTAGCACAACAGAGAATTTGAAATAAAATAACACTTTGGTAGAATACTGTCTGTATATCTTTTGGACACCATATGAAAAACCTGTTATGTTAGTTAAAAATTTTACTAAATCACAAAAGGCATGAAAAATACATTAAAATTCAGAAAACTTCACCCTTAGTAGTGCTCCACAGCATGTGAAAGTTTCTTTAATAATCTACCGATTTATGAAAATCAAAAGCTTGTTTCCAGTGGAGTGAACAGTAAAATCTGGTTCTTGAAATTAGTAATTACTGAAAATGATGCTAGCTGTAGTATAATTTTGATTTGCTCTTTTTGAGCTTGTGTTGCAACATTGAAACACTTCTACGTTGCACTACATTTATTGGCAGTTAAACTGATTAAGTAGCACATCACTAATAGATGGCACTGCTGTATATGTTGGACACAATTAAGTCAATGGTATGGTATAGTACAGGTACCAGGGAATTAACATATGGTACTGTTGTGCATATGGATTGTAATTAAGTTACTTAGAAAAACACAATCAATGTTTAGTACAGGGTAACTACAAATTATTGCACACTTGAAAATGTAATAGCTTTAAAAAAATTTGAAATGTGATAATGTATGTCAGCAAATATACCCTCAGGTTTATACTTCCTGGTCTCAGTGCAAAAGTATGGATAAGCTCACATTCTGAAAATGTATCAGTTGCTTGATTGATATCATCTTTAAGATTGGAATGTATAGCTGGGTGTGTGGTGTAAACTGGTAGATTTGATGTGTTCCTACAGCCAAGGTTCAGCAACATTAGGAGAGTGTCTTAGAAGCATGAAATGAAGTGGTGTTCTCTCTTATTGGAAGAAACATGTTCCAATAAAACCATCAGCTGCAAATTGTGGAATGTAAATTCCTTCAGCACATCTAGGCATAAGAATAGTGTTTTTGAACTAATGCCATAACTTTATTACATTGTTTGATTGTACCTATGCTAAATAAATTTGTTAGAATTAGCATTGTATGAGAAATATATATGGAAATTTCATGGATCATGGAATGGTCCGTTCTTTTTTCTGAATGTTCACTAGTTTGATGCTGTCTGTTGAGGAAACCTTGAATCTTGGTTTTAGGCCAAGACTGGAGAGATGTATTAAAATTGGAATATTTTAGACCAATATTTACTTTGTTGTTGTAGTCTTAGGTATAATATACTAAACAGTATACCTATCTGGGAATTTAAAGGTAATACTACTGTACATCTAAGCTATAAATAAGTTTGTTGTATGACTATACATATCAGAGTTAATAGATGGTACTTCAGTACATGTTGGGTAAAGTTAAATTAGTTGTGCTGAATACGAATGCCAGACACTCAGTATATAGTTCTAATATACATATAGGTTTTAGATTACGTTATTAGTATAGAATAAGCATTAGAATTTATAGATAACATCACTGAACATGTATTATGTAGTTAAGTTTGTTGTATAACATAGTACCGTTATCAGAAAGTTAATAAATGGTACTGTAGTACTTGAATTAGTTAAGTTTACTGTATGGTACAAATACCAGTGAGTTGGTAAATGGTACCGTTATACAAACATGTTTTATTTTAGCTTAATGCACAGTATGAATGTCAGTGAGTTAATATATGGTATTATTATATATATATTGTAGTTTAATTAGTTTAATGTACAGTAGGAATATCAAAATTAATAAATGGTACTGTTACTCATGCATGCTGTAGATAAATTAGTTGTGTTAAACAAAACACAAATCAGATGGTCAGCAGATTGAACTATTGGATGTGTGGGCTCAAAGATAAATGTAGGACAGTATAAATATCAGAGGTAGTACATGGTAATGTTGTAGTAGTCAAGTCAGTCCCAAGGGCACTGTGACCATTGGGGCACCTTGGATGCTGCAATAACCTTCCACCACTCCAGCACGTGCTTGGCTAGCTTTGTGCACTTTATTAGTTGAAGCCCTGTCCAGTCCTTGATATTGATACCCCAGGTCTTTCTGGGTCTACATATTTTTCTCTTTCCCTCCACAGTGCCCTGCATTATGTTGTTGGCCTTCTTCTGATGTGTCCAAGTTATTGCAGCTTCCTTCTTTGTACAACCTCTAATAACAGTTTATAGGTTTCCATTTCTTGAATGATTTGCTGCTTGACAGACTCATTAGTCTGGTACTAAGTGTATGAGACATGCAGCAGTCTTGTAAAGCAGCACACATTCTGTTCTCTAACTTCTTGTTAAGCATCCATGCCTCACAGCCATCGAGCATCATAAAGTTGACAACCACATGCAGCAGATTAACTTTATCTTCAGTAATTTTTCTACTTGTCCAACAGATGGTCAGTAGATTATGCTGCTGGACATGTAGGCTCAGAGTTAAATGTAAGACATTATAAATACCTGAGGTAATTCATGGTAATGTTGTAGAGAGTGTATTTAAGTTGGATATGTCTCACAGTATATATGTTAGAGTTAATAAATGATATTACTGGGTATTTAAGGTGTAGTTAAGTTTGTTGTGTGAACAGTACAAATATCAGTCAAGCTACAGTTTTATACATGATAATTTAAAAGTTTTCATATTATTTTTAGTAATATTTATAGGCATTCAAGAGCTTTAGTAATGTTTACAGGAAGAAAACCAAGGAAATAGGCAATTAGGTCAAACTATTTTGGAGGAAAAACTGAAATCAAGGTTAGTGCTTTGGGAGTAGAGTTGTATTATATATGTTTAACTTTAGAGCATTTATTCATTATTATATCCATTAGTATTGTTCAGAAATATTAGCCTATTAATAATTTATTACTATCAAGTTTTCAGGATTGAGGTTAATATTATTGTGTACTATAAAATAATGTGATCAAAAATTGATGTTCTTTTGAGATTCAAACAGAATGATAGAAATAAGATGTTTCTTTGAGTCTTAAACAGAAAAACCACAATTAAATTATAGTTCTACTATGTATTACTTATTTTGAATTAAAATATATTTTAATTTGGTGTGTTTTCATTCATTTGCTAACACCTTAAGGTAATATTTTCTTCATAGTTTTGATTTTTTATAGTTTACTTATCTTCTCAATTTTTTGCTACAAGTCAAATACTGTTGTATTAGTGACCATTAAGTTCAGAATGAAAATTCTTGTCTCTGTACTTGGGGAGAGCCTTCTTTTCCCATTACAATACCTCACCTCTTCAGACAGATACAGCTATCTTCCTTGCATGTCTGCCAGAGTGATTTGCATGCCACTAACCTTGCAACTCCCACCTAATTTTATGTGATTTTATATGAATTGTGATGCTGCATGATGATGTCATCATGCTAAAAAAATCCTCCACCAATAAGAGGGAAACACACCTCTACGTCTAATAACTCTCCCTATGCACTTGCACTCGTGAAATTTCCTTTCCTTGGCATTGTGTTGATTAGATGTGTTTAAATTTCTTGTGAGTTCATTTTATTGAGATTTGTATCATTAACAAAACTTTGAATTTACTTTTATTGGCTTTTTTTTTAAAGCTTTATTTATTTTTTGTGAATTCTCATATGTTGATTATTTATACTTTGTCTTGAGTGAGTGACTTTGTTCCCATTTAGGTCCTTTTTTTTTTTTCTATGAGTTTTGGTGGCCTGTTAACTTTCAGGATCATTGCAGCCATTCTTCAATGTGTTGTGGATTATCACATGCTTAATGGGCTCCTGTCCTGTTGGCTAAATGTTTTTCTCCTTGTTTAGGAATGATCTGTTGGACTGTGACCTTACCTGATTGGCTTTGGACAGTATCTTACTATTTGTGAAATGACCTTAACCTTTTAATCTATTTCTGGATTTCTTTGTCAGGTATGTCTGTTTAGTTGTCTTTTACCCATGTTCTTTATTTTTTCTTGTTTTCTTACTCCCCAATCCTTGATTCTTGGAGCTTACCCTATCCTTTATCCTGGCTTGTTATTAGGATTTATACTATCTTCTTTCTTTAATAGTTTTTTTTTTCACTCCCATATACCTCATCCTCCTCACATTCATGATTACCTTGGTCCTGATTTGTAGTCTTTCTTACTTTCCTTTTATTGATTCTGTGTCTTTGATATCTGTTTGGACAGCTTGGGGATCAAACCTCATACTTTAAGGTTCCCTAATTTCATAATTTCATGTTTTTCTCTCTAGCATCCTCTATTCTCTCTCCTGATTCTGCTTTTTCTCAGAGGCACTTCTTCATGCTTCAGATGGGCTTCTGAAGGCATTCATTCCATTCTCTGTTTAGCCTGTTCCACTTTTGCTCTATCCCGATGTGCTGTGTTCTGTTGTTGTTGGGACATTTGGGTTGGGTTACCTTCCTCTTTACTGTACTTGTTCCTTCTTGTGGATATGTTATTTGTCCTTTTCTTTGCCTGATGTTATATGGTTTCTTCCTCATTTTCTTCCCAGAACTTTTCTACAATCTTGACTTTGCCCTCTACTCTGTCTAGATCAGTCTACTCCTAACCTTCCTGTTGCAATTTCCTAGCCTTCCTCTTTTTCTCATCTTCCTTCTACATGAAGTCTAGTTTGTCACTCTTCTTGTCACTGACTTTTTCATGCTCATGTTTGTGTGGGTTCCCTTCTGCTGTCAGTCTCATTTGAATCTGCTCTCTGGTTGGCCATTGTCTATGTGTCAAACATCATCCTACAGATCACTCTTGGCTCTTCCTCCACTTTTTTTCTATTATCTATCCATCTTTTCCCTGTCTTCCATTTGACTTAAGAGTCAGCTACTTTTGTATTAATTAGTAACTTCATGACTTTTGTTTGTCATATTCATGGCTCAGGGCTGTCATTCCCTTTCTTTGACCCATTCCAGGACCTTTTGCTTTTGGGCATTAGACATACACTTCTGTGTCCATTCACATCGGGTAGATTTTATTGCTTGCCTTTGCTGAAAGTTAAATCTTGGTGACAAGTTGCCTGTCTTGGCCAATCCACATTCTATCCATGGAGTAATTTCTACACCTACAAGTCTTTTGTGGGGTTTATAATTGGTTGGACACACCCTTCTTGGACACAGTTGCCACCCTTCTCAACTCCATGCTTTTTCTCTTATGGTCCCCTATTTCTCATCCTTTGGTTCTGGTTGTTGATTCTCTCATCTTGGCCTGGTCTCATCTCTTTCTATATAACTATTCCCGTATTCATCTCCTCCTTCTGGTCCTCGGCTTTCCACACTTCTCTCTTTCTTGGGCATGTTGGCTCCTCTTTGACCAGCTTTGCCTTAGTCCTTCTCTTCCTTAATCCTCCTATATCCACGTATCCCTTCTTCATTAAAGGATATCTTCTCTATATCCTCATCCAGGAATTATGCCTGATCTGTCACCTGTCGGGCCAGGCTTTATAACTAAGTGGCATTCTTCTTGTCATTTTATATTTGCCATTTCACTTTCTTTGTCTGTTGACTTTTATGACATGTCTTTTGTCATTGGTCCTTCTACTCTTTCTTTCTGTCCATCATATTGTGAACAACCTTTATGCATTTTTTACCTGACTTTTTGTCAAGGACTTGTCGGTATCTGCATTTACTAGTTATTGGTAGGTTTTGTCCATGGCATTTCACATTTCCTAGTATCACAAGGTGTTTCTACTGCTGTCCTCTATACTCTGTTCTGCTCCTTTCATTCTCCTTTGTCCTCTTTGCCCAACTCCTCCTTTTCACCTGTGACTACTGTTGTTCAGATGTCTATTCTCTAGATGCTTCTTGCACCTTTTTTCATAACGCTTCTGTACTCCTCTTCATGGACTGATCTTTCCATCCTCAGCTTTTGCCCACTTGGGAGACTGATCATACTTCTCATCTATCTCTTACCTATTGGACCATTCAGACCTAGTTTGGCTTCTGTGTCCTGTTGGGCTGTTCAGTGTGCTTTTACACAGACTTCTCCTTTTTGAGGTCCCTGTATTCAACTGTCCCTACTTTGGAACTCCTCTTTCCATGGATCTTTCCCTTCTCTCCTTGATGGATGTGTCAGTTACCTCATCTAGTTGGTATGTTCGTTTTGGAATGTGAATACTCACTGACTGTCTTAAATTTCTTCGCATTTGATTCATCACCTTTTTCATTCCCTTACATCTTTTCTTTGCTGACCCTAGGACAAGCTCCTTTAGGTGAGCATATGGACACTCTCCACACATTCATCTCTTCCTCTACACCTTTTGGCTGTTTTATCTCCTGATGGTTTTTGACTTCCACAGGTCACCATTCTTCAATCTCCCCACCGTCTTTGAGAAGAATGTTTACTATTTCTCTTTCAGGGCATCTATTTCATTACATAGGATTCTACCAGATTGCTGATGCACAGTCCCTCCACCAATTCAATATGAGATCGTAGAGATATCTGTGTGTGGAGGAGAGGTATTCTTTCAGAAGTTTACATTTTCATGACCTGAAAATATATTTCTGATAGATACTGACATCTTCATGCATTCCCACCCATCCTGCTCACTTCCATAACACTTTTTTCTTCTTATTTTCCTTGCCTCATCAAAGAATGAAGTTTCACAAGAGCAAGTACATAGGGGTAGTTATTGTGCATGGAGGTGTGTCACCCTCCTATTGGTGGAGGGCATTTGTCGCATAATGATGTCATCATGCAGTAATGCAATTCATGTGAAATTAGGTGGGAGTTTCCTCAAGGCTAGTGGCATGTAAATCTCTCTGGCAGACATGTAAGGAAGATAGCTATAGCTGTGTTAAGAGGTGAGTATCTGTCAGAAATACATTTTCAGGGAAGGAAAATATTAACTTTCATGACTTAAAAGTTCATAATGTAACTTTTCTATTAATATAAAATCTATCTGTTGTTGAACTACCTACCTCTTTTCTTTCTCTCCCCTTTTCAAAATAAGAACAAAGCTATTTTGTTGTGCCTGTAATTTTGCTATTACTATAATATTAATCTATTGGTGTACTCTCTCTCCTTAAAGTTATGAATGAGGTTTTTATGCTGCACCTGTAACTATATTATTAATATAACATTTATGAGTTAACTTTCTCTATATGGTTTATCTACAAATCAAGAATGACAGTCTTTGTCTTTTCCTTTCTTTAGTCGGGTATCAAGTTTAGAACTACAGAAATTAAGACAGGGGATAGAAAAGAATGATAATTCTCAATCCAGTGGAGCATCTGATGAAACCGAGCCATTTGTTAATAGCCCATCTCTATCTTTAGAGGTAATATCAAACCTTTAATTGTATATTCGATTATTTTAATATATGGCATTTAATTACTTAATTTATAAGTATTTTTTTTTATATTGACAATGAGTAATCAATTTAATTTTATTATTGTACATCTTGATACTAAAATAATTAAAATATCATGTTAGTTTGTTTTAAAGATTGCTTTGCCTAAGCTTTTGTTATTCTTTCTTTCAAATTTTTGGTAATGTATTTGTTAATGTCAACAATTGTTGTATAGTTACTTTTGCAAATGTATTTATTTTTACTTGGAGTGTGTTTGGTTGTTTTACAAAGTGGAGTTTCAATGTTAAATTATGTTGAAGTTTTCACTTGACTTTTGATATGTTTTTTATGAAATTTTGTTTTTAAAAAATAAAAATAAAACTGAGATTGTGATAGCTATTTGTGTGATTGATTTGAATGCAAATAGATTTTTCTTTGATTAGGTTATGGTACGTTCATTTGGCTCTCTTTCACTTTCCACACTTTTAGAATTGCTTTATAAGCCACTGTTATAGCAAAATTTGATGATTTTTACTTCTGACATACCTTAACAGATCTTTTACTAATACCTATGGTTATTACTATATTTTTCATCAAAATTCATCATATACAACTTAGTCCCTGTAGGTCACAGAAAGAAATATCCAGTAAGTTGTAATAACTTTGTAATCTAGAAAAAGTTAGTATAGTAAAGAATGATTATAAGGATGAACTGAAATGCCCTCATTATACAAATATCAAGAAAAGATATTTAATATTTGATTACTAAAATAGTTGTTTTTGAATGTTAATGTCATTTTGATCTAAGCTTAAAAAAGAGCCCTGTTTTGAGACTAGGCAGCAAGTCCACAGTCTAAGTTACTGATGGAAAATAACATACAAGTATGGCCACCTTCACCTGAAGCAGTGCCACCTTTACAATGTAGAAAACGGTAAATTTGGATTGTATATATATATATATATATATATATATATGAATATGTATGTATGTATTTTAATGAGAATTTAAGTTATGTGTAACTTTGTATAATTGCCTTTTAGGTTGAATATAAGATTTAGTGCTTTGAAAAGCAGTAACATTTATTTATTTTTCTATGTGTTATTAACAAAATCAGTCTTTTTTTTTGTTGTTAGTATTTAAGTTTAAATTTTGTGTTAAATATAATCGTTTGCATACATTATTTAGCAGGAAGTTATTGAGAAGCAAATTCCAAATTTTTCATTTTGTAAAGTATTTATTGGAGGATGTCATTTGACGACAAAATTGTTGAAATGACCTTGAATTTCAGAGGGATGTGTAATTACTTTATTCCATTATTTTAACTTGTTTCTTTGTTAGGGTATAAAACAGTAGAAAAACCAGTTTGAACTGGTATAAAATTTGGCTTTTTTCACTGGTTGTGCTTACTTTTGTTATTATACTTTAAAGAAAACATGCCAAAAGATTATTATAAAATTGTGATTATACATTTCTTTTGAGCTGAAAAAAGTTTCTTTTTACAAATTTTGTAGGCATATTTTTCTTGACGTATTAAATCTTGTTTACCCAGGTTTTGTTATTGCTGTTATCTAAATAATATCAAAATATTATGGTTTTCAATAACTTCAGTTTTCAAAACTGTTTTGCTTTTTACAATGTTGCATTTGTTGTGAATTTATTAGAAGATTGGTCAAAAACATTAAAATTTAAATTTTGCTAACATTACATTTTGGTATATTTTTTCAAGAAGTAGCCTAATTTGACACTATCTGTACATCAAAATGGAATATTTTAGTATGTGGAATTTTGGCAAGAAGATTAACAATCTTTACAAAAAAAAAAAACAACAAAAAAACATTTACCATCTGTTTGGTGCAGCTATCAAAACTAGTTTGGTATATTATCATTGAACATAGTGGAAAGTATTGTGGAGATTAGGGTTGTTTGGCTGACAATTTCTTTGTGACAATTTTTGGTAAATAACTGCTTATTCTGAGTAAACTAGTATGTTCACAAAGATTAACAGTTATTTTTTATATTAAGGAAAGAAATGTTAGGCTTAAGAATAAACTGATTTATTGAAAAATTTTCTGCATTTCTCTTCACACATTACATATGTAATCTTCTTTGTTTTACAGTATATTATACAGTAGGTTGTGTAATACTTTTATTGTAAATCATAATTGAATTATTTAAGGGTAAAGTGTGAAGTTGTTTTATTTTGGTTTCTTATCACACTGATTACTTTAATATTGTATAAAACTTGTTTTACAAAACATATTTACTTCTGCTCCCACTTATAGCAGTGGAGTAATAGCTGTAAGTGTGAGAAGAGGTAAGTATTATTGGAAATACATTTTCAATTTAGGAAAATGTTAACTTCAAAAACATACCTCCATTCCCACTTATAGCTATTACTCCACTGCTATGTGTGAGAGGAGGTAAGTGTTATTGGAAATACATTTTCAATGTAGGAAAATGTTAACTTTTATAGCATTTAGCTACTGTATCTTGTACATATTGTTGTTTAGATATTGGTTTTATTTTATTATTGTTTTTCTTTTATGGTTGAACCATAACAACAGAAGAGCTGAAAGTTTTGTAAGTTCAAAGATTTCTGTCATTATTTTGGAAGTATAATGCCTTTGAATAACCCTTATAATAATAGTTTTTTGTTTTTTTTAAATTTTACTGTTAGTGTTTAAAGTATTTTCTTTTAAGTGGTAATGCAAACTTAATTTAAGATTTTGTATAGAATATGCCAATAAACTTGTGTATTTTGATTAATTTATTTAAATAATTGTTTATTTGTTAAATTTACTTCAAGCTGATTAGTCAAGATATAATTTAAAAGTAATCATGAAACTCAGTATAATATTCTGCGTTAAATTCAATACTGTGTCCTGGTTTAGATTATAGGAACAATTGTTGCAAGATATGATAAGAATTAAAATTGGTAATTTTATTAGATGAATGTGATTTGTGTTAATCTTAACATTTTGAAGGAATTTATTGTAAATAAAAGTAGGTTTGATTCTTTCCTGAGTTTAACTTATATTTATGACTGATGAGAAGTTAAACCTTCCACAGAGCCTTTACACTGTGCCTTATTTCTGCCCACCAAACTGTGATCCTGTCCAACACACTCAACAAATTTTACAGGCTATGGAGAGCTACTATCACCATTTAGCTAAGGTTCAACGCTTCTCTTTGTTTCATAGGCCTTGGGGCCAACCTATTTGTGTAGGGAGACATCTACCAGGCACATTAGATCTTTATAAGCGAAAGGGTGTTTCCCAGGGAGAAGATGACAACAAGTCTATTCCAAAACCTTTAAAGAAAAGATTTATTGCAGAGTCTGATGATGATGAGCACTCAGAAGAGCTTCCTAGCCTTCAAGTTGATTGTCAAACAGTTATAGACAGTCGAGAAGATACATCTTTTCTTGCACTGAAAAGAAAATTGCGTTCCAGCACAAATTCTGTTGTTATTACAGCCGAAAATTGTGATGAAAACTTGACACATGATAACCATCTAGTAAACTATAGAAATAAGACAGTTAAGAATAGAACATCTATCATGTCAGAAGAAGCTCCACCAAAACAAACATCCCAGCAGCTGTCTCGAAAGAAGAAAGGTGATGTGGATGGTAATGGAGAAGAGTGGTTGGAAGCCAGCAAAAAACCAAAGGCATCACAAATGTCTAAGGGACCAAGGAAGAGTAAATTAAATGTAGAGAAAGAGAAATATATTAGACAGAAAAAAATTGGTAAACTAGAATCATTGGAGATCATTTGTGAAATTAACAATGACCTTGAAACAAATGAAAAATTGAATTCCTGCCTCGACCCTGAAGTAAATATGGTTCAAAAAGAAGAAAATAAGGTCCTCTGTGATAACCTCTGTATTCCCTCCAGTACTCAAGGATCTGGACTTGGTAAGAACATAAATGAGGTTCTGTTAACTTCTTTAGATAAAAAAAGTAAAACCTTTGAAATCCAACATCTTTCTCCTAATATTTTGGAAAATCCTAGCCACGAACCTACATCATTTGTAGAATCAGAAAGTGAGAGACTGGTAATTCCAGAAAGTCCTCCAGAAGAAAAACCCCATTCAACAAAAAAAAAGATTCAACTATCTATAGACAAAAATAAAACTGCAAATACAAGTTACAATGAATCAACTGTTCTTCTACCCCAAATTAAACATTCTTTTGACAAAGTGTCTGTTCCTGTAGTAACAAATAATTCTGTTTTCAAGAAGGAAGCTCATAGTGAGTCTGCTATAGAAGATGAACAAGTATTTTGTATTTCCAAAAGCCCATTTGATAACTTACTTGGAGAAGGTGAAGAAAACACAAGAAAGTAATTTTATGGTAAGTTTTTCATATGATGAGTTTGATAAACAAACAGCTATGTATGAAACAGAAATTGAAACTAGCTATGACCTACAAGTTTATTAGTTAAAAAATTTAGTAGGTTTTTCAGTTGCCACATAATAATAATAATGATAACGTTTGAATAACATGATTTAAAACAAGGTCTGTTTATGTAAACTATGGCCAGGCATTAAAGACTGAGTTACTGACATTATTACTTATAAGTTATGCCAAAGATTGTAATATTGAATTTTCTTTTGTTTCTGTAAATGTTTATGATATTAAATGTTATGGTATACTGCAAATTTGAGTAAGGGGTAATAAAGTGGCAAGAAAGTAGTCAGTGGCTAATTGAAATTCAGTTTATGTATAGGGTGAGAATTTAGATAAAAACCATTAAAAACTATCCTGTAGTGAGATGCTCTGCATCTCTTGATATTAAATCTGCTAAACAAATTTAATTGAGGTAGAAAAGGGTAAAGTGCAGGTTTTTGCTAGGGAATCTTTCATTAAATTGGAAGTCTACTTGAGATGAACAATATGTTTTCTTTGAAAAAAATGCATGTTTGGATAGTGTAGTTGTCAGTCACTATCTCTCTATGATGTAGATACACAATGACAGAACATTATTTTTAATGAGGTTTTTCTTATTTGGCAAGTAGGTTAATGGAAGGATAAATCCTAAGTATATTTTCAGAAAACTCACTATACAGTGCTGAAAAAAGATCTAAACATTTAGTAAGGTTTCAAGAAGTCTACCCTAGGAATGTCAGATATCAATAAGTTTAATAACAATTACAATATCTAGATATGAAACTTTCATGTATTTTCTTTGAATATTTAACAACAGAAAATTTAATAATCTTAGGGACTCAGTTTATATTTTAAAAAAGTATGATTTACATACAACTTTTATTTTATTTTTTATTTTTACAGAGCAATTTTAAAATGAGGTTATTAGATGGTGTTCCTTTTGAGAAACATGTAGAAATTGACCAAGAAGCTCTCATTATAAACCCAACTGCCTACTTACCAACAGTACAGTGACACTCTGAGCACATTCTTTAAACCTATCATTACATCTGAGTGGACTGAGAAGTTAAACTGTACTCTAAACTTCATTTGCAATCCTTCTGCAACAGTTAAGGATATTTTTTATCAAAATGTTACAATTAAATTGTAAACAACATTTTAGTGAAATATCAAGGTTGGAAGACTCGCTATATACTAGGAAAGATACATTTGGTTACTAGGAGGAGTAAGGTATTTGTTTATGAAGAGTGGAACAAAGATCTAACAACAGGCTGCTAGAAGAGAAGAAGGAATATACTCTGTTATGAAGAGTGGAACAAAGATCTGACAACAGGCTTCTAGGAGAGAAGGAGAAATATACTCTGTTGTGAAGAGTGGAAACAAAATCTAACAGACTTCTAGGAGAGGAGGAGGGATATATCTGGTTGCAAAGAATGGAAAGATCTAACAATAAGCTTTTAGGAGAGGATGAATATACTTGGTTGTGAAGAGTGGAAACAAGATCTAACAACAGTCTTCTAGATGAGGAGGAGGGATATATTTGGTTGTGAAGAGTGGAAAAAATATTTAACACTTGATTATTAGATCATGCTGTTGGTAACTAATTATTATTCACTAGTTGCTGTCAAGCAGAAGTATATTTATGGTAACTGTACTATGAATTGCTAATTAGTGGTGTTCAGAAAATCTGTTGTTTGAGGTTTGTTAGTTAGTTGGAGATATGTGAAGAACGTTTTTATGTAAATTGTATTAAATAGAAGTTACAAATTTTCCATATGTAATATACATAAAATGAAAAATGTATATTGAAATAGCAATCTTGAAAACACTGCAAGCTAAAATTGGTATGATTGATGCATATATGTTTAACTTGCTATTATTAACACTAGCCTTAAACTGTTATTCTCTTCTAGTTTTTGCTGATTGTTTTCAGGTAGAACAGTGGTTATGCTTGTTTAAGTTACGCATGAATGGATTTTATTTTTTGTGTTTACTTTAAATTCACCATTCCTTGTTTTTATACATGTTTCTCCAATCACCCTGTGAAACATCTTGTCCACCTTAAATAGCATATTTTATACTAATGTACCAATCAAAGTTTTAGGAAATAATTACTGGTAGTTTGGATGCCCTCTTTCAAGTAAAGGAATTAATAAAGAATTGCATGTATTGATTTCTTTGAAACTCATGTGTTCAAAAGCATCTTTCTCTATGAATATGTATATGATAACAGTGATGTTTTATAAATGTTTATATACTTGCTTATGTCAGTTTTGTATCTAAGACATGTCAGGTTTTATTACAGGAAAAAAGCAAAACATAATAAATTATTTGTTTTAAATCACTTATATTAAGACTGATTTGCCTGAGTTATAAGTACCGAGTGTTCTACACATTATTAAAATAAACTCAAGTGATGGAAGCCATTAATTAGCTGGCGGCTACTTTTTTACAGTTTTCTCAAATACAGATCATAATATTTATACATATTCAGTCTTTATCACTGCCACTTTTGAAAACCAAAAGAGAAAATGTAATTTTTTTGTTGCTTGTGTGACACATGTACAGACTAAGGAATCCACAGTATGAGAGGGGCATACATGTTTTTTAGATTTTTGTTTGTTTGTTTTCTTGTGCTTAGGGAAGAGATAAACCCAAAGACAAGAAGCACATGATCATTAAAAGTCAACAAGCATAATTCATTTGCATAAGGCAGTCTTTATTTAGCTTTAACCTTTATTTTTAATTTATACTACATTTTATGTTATAATTCAAAGGAAAGGGTAAGTCTCTGATAAGGAAATACTTGGCAGAACATTAGCTGAAGATGTTCACTATTTAAAATAGTAATGCTGTTGCAAATTATATATTTTATCTTTATGAATATGTCAACACTATAGATTGAAACTTGTGAGTGGTTGTAATTTTTGTTACTTGCTGGCATAAAATGCATGGAACCTTCATCTAAATAAAAAAACAAAACATATATCTTATCCACTAACTTAAGAGAAAAAAAAAAAGTATTATGCCTAGTGAGTTCAATAAATGTTTTACTTGCATGTTTATATCAGTTTTATTTTCTAAATCAGTATTCCTACCCATTTGCCAGTCTTTGGTGTGTATAAACCTTATGGAGTGTTAGGAGTGTATAGGCCTTTAGTGTTGATTCTTAACTTAGTTTCTTTAAGAAGGTTTCAAGTGAAAGTTATGAGGCTTACCCACTTCACAGTGAACATAAAAGGAAACAACACTTTTCACCTATTCATAACACATATAAGTTTTATGAAAATTTCATCTTTCACAATACCAATTTTTTTTTTCTTTTTAACCTAATATTTCTATAGACCAATGGTTGAGAACTATTGTTTTAAATTAGTTTTCCTCCAAAGTTTTTGCTACTAAGAGTTGTCTGAAGGGACAGTGAATGTCAATTCTAGGGACAGTGAATGTCAATTCTAACCATATTTGAAATATTTAATATATGATTTTTCCATTTTGTAAAGGTGAGTGTTTTTTTTTGTATGAAAGTGGAATGCACTTATATTGGTGTTACCAAAGTGTGCCAACAGGAATTTGTGAAGCAAGTGATGATTCAAGTAACACAGATGTAGCTACAACATAATAAAATCTGATAATACAAATCAATTAAAAAATAACCTCCAAGAATTGGAAAACTTGAGATCAACATTTTAACCCAACAACCCATATATGTAGTTTGGTCAAACATTTATCATTAACTTACAGCAAATGGTTGTATAGAGGTACTACTAACTTAAACTAGTAATGCATCAATTCTTTGACAGCAGTATTACACATAAAAATCTATTAATTATTTCTACTGATGGCTTTATTATGTACTTGAAAACATTTTTTTCATATTGTGAACACAGTTAGTAGTTGTGTATTGTAAAAAAAGGAAGTCAATACAAAGCTAATACACAGAGACAGACATAATTACAATAAAATGAAGTGATTAAACAAAAGGATATAAGACTATTTATTTCTCAATGGCAGATTTATTTCTGGATGTATTGTGAATTTCTGTAGATGTCTTATTGTGTTATTAGTTTTTTCCATTACAAAAAGCCCATTAAGTTAGCTTGTGTTTTGATCTTCATTAAAAATATAATATTTGTAATTGAGCATATAATTTGGTTTACAATACAAGATGAATGAAGTATCATTTGTACTCTGTTGCTTGTCATATATTATTCAGACTAGCTTCACTTTGTAACAAATCAAGGAATAGCAAAGATATTTATTCAATCAACATATGCAACAAACTTTATAGTCACAAGCATTTATTGTTCCTTCTAATTTAAATAATTTTTAAGCCTATTTTCTGTGTTGACAACTTTATTGTATATATATATATTCAGCCTTAAATATTAGTTTCCTGAAATGTCTTGGTAGCAGGTAACTCAAGAAATATATTCCTTATTGTTTGCTTGACATGTTATCTTCAAGGCTAATGAGATTATATATAAATTTTAAATATTTCAACTATTTTATTTGCCACTTTGTCAGCCTAGTTTAAAGTTATTCATAATCCTATAAGTGAGTTTTTTCATGCACATTATCATATATATCATAGAACTAGCAAGCCAAGCGGGTTTTTTAAACCTACATGCAAATAGTTTTGTTCAACTAAACAGCTTTGAAGTATTAATTCAGATGGTATATAATACAAGAAACATGAATGTTAGATGGTTATGTACAATGTTATAATTCGTGTAATCCTTGTTTTACAGAGTTCACATGTATTTCAGAATTCTAAAGTGTACATCTGTTTTTTTACTTATTTTTGTTAGCAATTGTTTTAGCAATGATAAAAAAAAGGAGTTCAGAGATTAAATAAATGTTTATCACAGACTGTTGCACATAATATGAAACTACTTTATTAACGGATACCAGAAGTCTGTTAAAAATATATAAGAATTACAAGTTTGTATTAGTTCCTGAAGTAAAAGTACCCTAGCTGCTGTTACCTTCTTATGAAGTACTAGCTAAGCTGGCCTTTCTGTGACTAGTTTTATCTTTATGTAAAGGAAAAGTTTTTCAAGACCATTTGCTTATTGTGCAACATAAAGTGTAACTTGGTGATTACTGTATGTACAGGAAACTTCTTGAAAAGCTTTTTATCTTGTCCAAGATATAACAACATATTTTTCACAATAAACCCCATCTTTAAGGGGAGGTGGGAGCTAAAACATATTTTAAATGTACATATGGTAAAAGCACATTAAATACCACATTTTCCCTTTGTTTTCAGGTGAACCGTTGGCTAATCTGTTTTTAAATATCAATGTTTTAAAGACACTTTTAGTAGACTACTGAAGTGTATAATTCAATTTATTATTTTGTTGATTGTGGTTTAAATTCAGTATTTTATCAAACATTTTTATATTTGATTTGTGTGAAATTCCAGTTGGTAATTGTTATAACTTTTTTTTCTCCTTCTCAAAAAGTTAAAGGAGTCATCCTTTTAGAAGATCGTGAACAGTATTGTCAGTTATAGATTTGTATTCCACTAAACTGTACTGAGTTAATGATGTTTACAGATGTTATTGAATAATTATAGTGATTAGAAAATTTCAGTTTTGTCTCTGATGTTGATGTGGTTCTCTATCAACTTCAGTTTATGATAGGAAAACTTAGTTTTAGTGTAATATTTATCTAACCATCTGAATGTGATAGAATTTTATGAAAGTTCTGTAAAACTGTACCATATTTTAATTAAATACATTTTATTCTCAAAGCTCTGTACAAGAAAGAGAGTTTACTTTTGTGTCCGTGATATTAATGTGCACAGGTGGGGATCAAAGTATGCACATCATAACTTTTTATAGAGTGCAAGTCAATGTGGTATTGTGTATTTTATGTCAGAATTACCAACTATTGCAGATTTAGTGATAGTTCATGATAGATAAGAATAAATAACAAATGCAATATACAGAGATACCAAGAAAACAATATTTGCATTCCATACATTTTAGAGGTTATGCAAATTCAATATGCCATCTGTATGATTGACAAAAGTATTGTTATTCCTGACATGGACATCATCTTGCACTCTGACTTTTCATAGTCAAAGTCAGACTAACATTGCCAATTCACAGACATATCTCAAGTACAAGTACTTATGTAACACATTTGACTTTTTGTGTGCAACAGACTTCTACATTTTACTAAAAGCATGACACATTTTGTGTGGATAAACTTAGTAAATTTGAAATTATAGTCCACATTTTTTCTCCAAGCTGGGCTTGGTCCAATGGACTGATCCCATGCACATTTGGTTAAAGCAAGGGATATGTACAGCTGAAATTTTAGTTATCACATAATTTTTTTGATGTAATATTGTGCTTAAAGTAAAAAACTTAAATCATTATTTGTAGTTAAACAATATGTGAAACAAGCAACTATATTCTGTTCTGTATACATAGGTATAGTACAGATATCAGTTCAAGGCTTTTTTGGGCTGGTTTATATCATTTTTCTCAATAAAAGTTTGGTTAATTTTAATATGCTTTTTGGCAGATTTTTCATATTTTATAAAACTAGATACAAGGCATTGCTTAAAATGGCAACAAAGATGTATACATATATTGACGTATATGTGTGTGTATTTGTGTAAATGATATAAATATTTGTATCACACAACAAAGACTACTGGGATAGTACACACCACCAGCTAGTAATAGGCTCATTTCTATTGAAACTGTACGTTAATCTCATGGTACACCACTGCATAAGCTTTACAAAGATCAGCAA